TTTAAATCAAGCAACATTTTCTCATTTTTACAGCTAAGACATGTAAAGAAATTTTTAAATGTCATAATTTTTGTTCAAGTGCTTCATCACTCAACTTACAAATCTAGAATGCGATTCATCTACAAATCTAAGTGTTCACAGTTAGGTGAGTCTTAGGCTTGGTTCTTAATAATCTAGAAGCAATCCATTTACAAAAGTACCACCAAAGCATGTTATGAAATCATTTAATGCCACCAAGCATAAACCTGATATACCCTGGAAACAAAAAAATCTCACAACTAATTCTAGCAGACTAACTTTAAACGATTCCAACTAGAATGGACTACACATCCTTATGGCACATTTATTACTTTGTAATATATAATTCATAATACAGGCTTAGGTGTGTGGTGTGGAACTAGAAAAACCAAGGAAGTTGGATATCATAGAAAAGAATATAAAGTCATAGACTGATTTCTTCAAGCCACATATTGAAGCATGTCTTTTGTCTTTATAATTTTGTCAAAAACCAAGCTCTAACAAGGTTCCTCTTTCTAGGGGAAAAGAGATAAATGGATGGGAAAAGAGATAAATTTATCTAATAAATTAGATAAATGGCATTTCATCATTGAGCCTTAATCATGCTTCTCAGTCATGGTTGTTCTATGTTCCATGAAATCTAATGGTCCAACTTATACATGGCACTCTTAGGGGATACTTCAGCTATAAAGCAAAGGGCTGAAAGAATAGAGCAATCCAAAAGCCCTAGTGGTGGGAACTATGGCCTAACTCCAACTTGTTCTTCCATTCGAGCCATTTTTGCACCTTTCCATGATTCTATAGGTGGGTTAAAATACTTTTCCGTGCTATTCAGCCAGAGACGGTTTTTGTGCTGGCTACTGTTTTGAAACTGATTTTGTCTGTCAACAATGCAAAAATAACATACATGTCTGGGCTATCATCAAAACATGTAAGAAGCTACAACTTTATATTTAATACTCTATTCAAATTTAATTCAGAGTAATGCAAAATAATTAGAAGTAAAAAGTTAACTCTTCAGAGAGTTCTATTTGGAAAATCTAACATATCCACACACAAATATTCATATATTCATGCACAGGGCAAACAACTATATTCTGAAGCATAAATAAATCCAAAGTAAGACATAAGTGGCTAGATACCAGTGCCAGTAGTGATGGTCTCTGGGGATCCCATTGAAGGACTCTCAAGTGAGAATCTTGCTCAGTTGTTAGGAGATCATTAGTTTAATTAGGCAACTAAAGTTCACTTCATAAATTACTTTTTCTTATACCCAGGAGTCTGTTTGAGTTAGCTTGAGAAACTATATGCCCCTCCAAGGGTAAAAATTTAACCATTAACACAAAGGCAATGTGGTTATTGCATGTGTCTAATGATTATGTGGCTTATCTAATTAGGTTTATAACTTTTTCACAATCA